ATCTTCTTGATCGTCTTGGTCATGGAGATGTTGTTGTTGCTGCCTACGCCTACGTCGCTGTCGTGGTTGCAGAACCACTCTCTCATGCTGAGTCTGGGATGATGAAGCCACTGTTGCACTAGATGTCGATGATATATCCTACCTGAGATGGGGGCATATGTATAAGATGGTCGTAGTCAACTTGCCCCAACACATCTGAACACAACGAGGCAATGCCCGTCAAAGCCTGACCGTACATGTCCACGTCATGCGTATCACTCACTGTGGCAGACTGGCAGTAACCCGCTGATGTATACGTTGCAAAGCTTGTGTCTGAAATATGAATCACAATTACAATTACTTAGAAATAAATAAAAGTGTTAAATAAAGAAAATGACTTACTTTAGTAATTAGTAATATACTTACTGTCAGATGCAAAGCCAAGGAGCTAGGCTGATAATGATGAGTAGGGAGTCTGAACGAAGGAGACACAAACAAACGAGTGGTGCTTTAATACCATCCCATGTAGTCTCCCGAAACAGATGGGACAAATGTCGGTGTCCCAGTCACAACAAACTCAGCTCGCCTCTCCCACATAGTGACGTATCAGACATGTCTGAGTGTCCAATCCTCCGTATGCTTCTCACGCCTATCCAGCCTATGAAGCTTTACATAAGTGTCGATAGGTGTTGGAATGACCTGCTCATACCCAAATTGTCGCAATACACGATTAGGCAAATGAAGCTCAACAATGTCACAACATATCAACGGCACACGTGCTCGTCATTTGTGACAATGCTCGTCCAGCGGGGGGCAACTCTGCAAACATCTCATTTGTATACGGCATCCATGTAATTTGTTTCATAAAGATACAAAATTAGTATTTATGCTATACATATTATAGTTAATATTATATTACGCACACCATACCTGATCCTCACACATCCGATCAAATGCATCCCCGTAAACACCGAGCCTAAAAGCCGATGATGTGCGACATAGATCAGCAAATAGCCATCTAACCATTCATGTAGCATATATTAATATGAATATTATTAATACATTTATATTCAACATACAATAACATAAATACAAACGATTGAAAACATATCGACGGTCCAGAGGGTCCTCGCCCCGTACATGATGTGGTCCCAGGAGACGTGGAGGCTCATCAGGCAGTGGGTGTCCATCAAGGCCATGGTATGCCACTATAATGGGACGCCCAATGTGGATGTACTCCCAGAAGCAAAAAGCCTCCAAGCTCCGTGCTCCCACTCTGGCACCCGCGACATAGCTGTCTGTAGAAATAAGCCAACATAGCACTACCCCAACTGAACTGTGCAGCTGCATCAAACCTCTTTATCATAGGCAAGTGCAGCACCTGAACCTCATTTCCGCTCTTGTCAGCGAAAATGGAAGCCCTCATCATCATCAGAATGTAAGCCTGTGCATGCTGCTGGGTCATCATCTCATTCGCGTCCGGAGGAAGCTCAGCGAAATGTTCCGTCAGCCAAGGCATCCTCAGAGATGACCCCTGAATGTCAGTCCGAAGAAGGGGGTGAACACCCAACAAGCGCTCACACTCCTCAACCCACTGTCGACACGCAGTACCAGAAATTGCTCTCCCATCGACCTCTAACCCAGTCAGTACAGCTACATCTCCCAAGGTCACTGTCACCTCACCGACGGGGAGGTGAAATGTGTGTGTGTCCTGCCTCCAACGCTCAAGAAGAGCAGTGAGTAGCGCTCTATCGAGAGGGACAATAGCCACCAATCTATGCAGACCATAAAAACCCGCAGCACGAACATATGCAAGTACTCTGTCGTACACCCGCACATGCGACAAACCACGTAGGTGCTCGCGACACCTATCCACCTGAACGTTGAGGCCACGCCACACATCCTCACTCCTGTGCATGGCCTGCAATGTCGCGACAGAACGATCACTCGGCCCTGGATCCGCTGACACCTCCATGCCTAAAAAAGGATATTAGTTAATTGTTACTATTTATCTACTTAATTTTTTAATTAATATTTTATTAATTATTATTTTTCATGCCACGTTAGTATCAATTGTGGATTATTATAATTAAAATCTTACCCAGTGGACCCCCCCTCCATCTCTTGATGATCTCTTCGCACATATGGCCCTATTATGGCCGGTTTGTTTACATTTTCCACATCTAACCGTTCCTCGGGGACCTTCATCCATCTCATTCTTAATACGTGTGAACTTAGGTCTTCCCTTAGCCCGAAGCATAGATGGATCGTGCACAATTTCAGGTCCATTGTAAGTCGACAAATAATCACGGTCAGGAATGAGTTTAAGGACTCTTTGATATGTAGCGGCATATTGTGCAGATGAGAAAAAAGGATCCACAAATGTATGATGAGACAAACTACGTTGTCTGCACACGGCTAATACATGAGAGCATGGAATCTTATATATTTCCAACTTTTTGCAAGTGCAAGTACGCCTCTGCAGATGGACAGTTTGCTTTCTACCACCCTTTCCCAACGTTCGGCCACCACATCCCGTATCCACTTTGTATATCCATCGACCTATATCAAATGGAGTAACAGTGTGATGCTTGACCTTCTCTCTATTCTTTTCAATCAAATCTGTGGTGTGTGGGGAGTAGTCGTGGCCTTCTATCACTCTTCTTTAACTGATTTCACGCTTATTAACAAAATAAGCATTAACGCGGTAAAAGGAAACCTGGAAGTGGTGATGGGCAAATATCTGGCATTCTTCATCACGCTGTTGAAAACCTCAGCCAGATTAGAAGTGATGGTACCGTATCTATAACCGCCATCGTGGTGTAATGACCACATTTCCAAGGGAATGTTCGCCAGAAATTGTCATGCCGCCACCTGCATTTCCCTTATCTTCTTGAACCCACCATCAAACTTCTTTTTCTGATGCTGCCGTGCGGTCCAGACAAACAGATTTTTTAGGTGAGTGTCTTTGAAATGAGTGTGCACATTCGATGCAAGATGGCTGACACATAGTCTATGGTGCGCATAAGGCTCCTCCCAAGTACTGCCCACCTCATTCATTGCCTTGACCATACCTGCATGTCGATCAGAAATGGCACACAACTCCCTATTAGTGACAAACTCCCTAATGCATGCCATAAACCATGACCAACTCTAACCATTCTCAGATTCAACAACTGCAAAGGCCACGGGAAATATTTGGTTGTTCGCATCACTACGCATAGGCACGAGCAATGTACCTTTGTACTTCCCATATAAGTGTGTGCCATCAATAGTAAGTACAGGTCGACAATGCTTAAAACCATGTATCGAAGGCTTGAATGCCCAAAATACTCTCTGAAACTGCATATAACATGTGGGAGTAATAGGGGATGGGTACCAGTAAACAACAGTTCCAGGATTGGAATGTTGGAGCGCTGTCATGAAATGGGGCATTCAGAATATGACTTCTCCCAACCGCCAAATATTTATGCAATGGCCTTTTGCTTGCCCATCCATGTTCTCCTGTATGATACCGTATACCCATACTTTTCCTTCAGCATCTCAATGATAGTATGCAATTTAAGGGAAGGATCAGTGCGAATAATGTCAATCACATCTTTAGCAATGAAATGTGATGTCATCGCCACGTGATCAGTACTGTCGGTGTTGCCAACACAGGTAGCAGAATGAGGTCCAGGATAACACACAACTGTGAAGCTGTCGAGGTTGCCTTTGTTCTTTGTGGCGCGTATTCTCCAGGGGCAATCACGTTCTTTCTTCCTCTTGCACTCTGCCACCCATTTGTGTTTATCGGAGTCCAGCACCCGATAAAATTGGTTCTGTTTGATAGAATACAAGCTCACCATATTGATGACTTGTTCTTTGTTGTCAAACTGTTGGCCGACCTCAAACTTACCTTTAGGTGTAAACCTTTCCATACCTGATCCACTCATCCACGCATCAGTAAAGCCTTCAGGGAGATCATATATTCTAGTAAAGTGACTAGACGGGGCAGTTGCCGTGACAGTATCACCATCATCTTCATCAGATTCTGTCATGTCATCACCATTGATGTTCTCGTCAGCATCATCATCACTTCCCTGCCCATCCACAAATGATGTACCATTGGTATCAGAGCCAATTCTGGTTGTGGTTTGATTGCTTGTTTAGCACTCATGATTACATGAGGTTTGTTAAGGGTCCGTTTGGCCCTTTTATACACCCTGATATTGTCCAGCCCAGTTTGTGTTGGGGCGTGTTAAAGTATTTGTACCACACCGGAAAGCTATAAAACACTATATGCGGCTTTGGGTTATTCCTCCTATCAGGTTGACCTTTTAGTATTGAACCTCATGTCTTAAAATAAATTCATATTAGACTGAATCGGATTTCTATATATATAAAATAGGGAAATTAACCTAAATAGGATTTAAAACATTTTTATATTCCAAAATAGGAGCAATGTGTTTTTATTCCCAAAATAAGACTAATTATTGCCAAGTTTTGGCAATATCAGACTTTTAACCGAACAATATTGTCTAAAATTAGCAGTAATTACTCTGATTTTGGGAATAAAAATATGACAGTCATATTTTGAAATTTCTAAACTTTTTACTTGTATTTTAAGAATTTTCCCTATAAAATACAAAGACATTTACTAGATCATACATGACCGTTTAAATCAGGTCAATAGCAGCATCTAAACAAAGCAAAGCAAAGAAATTGAGTCTAATTAAACTTTGTTTGCAAACACCACTAAAAAGTGATTTTGAATTTTTTAAAGTGATTTTGGAAAAAGAGTTTAATAATAAAAGTTGATAATGTTTGAGAAAAAAATGATTTTGAAAAATAAAAGTTGATAGTGTTTGATAAAAATAAATATTTTTTGTATTAAGAAAAAAGTAAAAGAGCAAATTCTAACCTTGAGATTTTAAGTATTAATTTAACTGGAAGTTATCACTTAAAAATTTTAACTTTTTTTAGTCTTTGCAAACAAAGCCTTGATCCATGGACCGATGGACAGGTTTCATGACATGAATCTCTTCTAAAAGACTAAAAGCAAGAGATACGTCGTCGTTTGCATTCTCTGGTTCACCTCGACCCCCAACTCCAGTTTGGCGCTCCACGAATCGCGTGCCCTTTTCCTTTGTTGAACGCTAATGGACTTGATAGCCAGTTATGCCTCTTCAGACGAAGAAGAAGAAGAAGAATCACCGCAAAATCAGAAGCAGAATCCCTCAAATTTCAAACCTTCAAAGCCCTCGACCGAAATCCCTAGCAGACTGCCGGAAAACGATGATGACAACGACGCCGATTTCTTATCCGTTAATAAACCCTCGTCGACGTTTTCCCTTCCTCCACCCAAATTCTCATCCTCTTTACTGTCATCTCTTCCAGTTCCCAAGTCATCGAGAGCAGATCCATTTCACCTTCGTCCGGCGTCATTGGCTTCGTCGGAGCCTAAGCTGAAAAAGGTTGTTCAATTTAGGCCTCCCTCGATTTCATCTTGGGTGAATGATAACAGCGTTGGTGAAGATGACGAAGAAGAAGAGGATGAAGATGAGAAAGAAAAGCGAAGGAAATTGTCTGAATCTACTATGGAGAATCGGTCGGTTAAGAGCTTCTTATCGAGCTTGCCTGCTCCGAAGAGCTCGGGCACTTTGGGATCCCTGTCCCTTGGTTCTGGGACTGGTAGAAAATCTATCCTTGAAGCTGATGTGCCTGCTTCGGATTCCAATGGTTCCATTTTAGGGACTGAAGTCGGTATTGATTCAAATATGGGATGCTATGAAAACCAATATGTGCAAGGATCAAATTTGAGCTCTTCGGGAGCTGTTGATGGTGGATTTCAATTAGGAAGTGTGGGTACAGTTGGTGGAGAAGGTGGATATACACAGGGCGGAGATTATAGCAGCTACCAAGGATATACTGGATATGGTGAGCATTCTGGTTGGGTTGGGCATGATGGAGAACAGTATTCAAACTATGCTTCCGGTTATGAAACTTGTGGACAATATGAAAATAATTGGGTTGATAAGTCTAATGCTTCTGCACAAGAACTTCCAGAATCTGCTGAAAGTGCATTGAGGGTGACAGGTAAGAGAAGAAAAAATGATGCTCCACCTGAAATAGTTGAGGTTAACCAGGATGAGTTGATGAAGAATCGACCGAGGGAAGATCAATCCAAGCTAACTGGCATTGCTTTTGGGCCTTCATACCAGGTAAACTATTCTCTTATAAAATTGTACATCTTCATTTCCCTAATTCTTAGAAGTGTTTTTATTTTCTATTGCAAATATAATGGACATTGTCATATAAGGTATTCAAGATCACATTTCTGGGTATGGATCTTTTTGGGAGATTGATTTGGCTGTTTTTAACATTTATTATGAAAATCGAAAATTGCTAGGTTGTGCCTAACAATTAAAAGAAATTAATGCATTAAGCGTATGTGATTCAGTCTCTAATTTACATAGGAACTTATATAACTGCCATATGAGATGCTCACAAACCGAAACAGGCACACCTGGTATCTCCCACTTGGAAGTCAGACTTTATCCCTACACTTCGGAGCTGAGATGCTACGTACATTCCCTTCGAATTGAATTAACACGTGCATCATCTTGTCAAAGCTCGATCTTGGAATTCTTTCTTTAGCAAATGGAATCCCAAGTCAGAGTTGGCTAATGACCTAATTAGTGATCTTTTTGCTCATATTAATCAGCTTATTCTACTTATTCTACAAAATAAGCTGAATAATCTGAAAAAGTAGCACTTGGCTTTACTTATTCGGATAAAATTAGTTCTACCAAACTTTTGCTTTCCAAAAATTCTCCAGATCGAATCATCTAGGCCAAATAACCCTTACCAAACTGTCACTAGATATTACTTGAACTATATGTTTTCCTAAATCTTGAAACTGAGCTGAAACTGTGGAAATTGCTGCTAAAACTATCTTTGGAGGGGAATTTGTGGATGCACGTCTCTTTGGTGCAAAGTTCCATGTAGGTATACATCCTAAGCATTAAAGTAGAGAATGATGGTCAGATCTGGCATTCTTCATTTGAATTATGGGAAGTTTCATAAGGACTAGGGAGTCAATAGCATAAAAGTTTTGTTAGAGCATACAAGTATTTGTTTGTCTATAAGAGTAGTAATGTAACTTTTATATTTTTTATGGAGTATTGGTATAACAAATTAACAATCAAATGATATCACATAAGATAATAAGATAATGAAATGGGAAAGTTATCCCCAAGTAAATGAAGTTTCCCCAAGAAGAAATGGGAAACTTCTCTATTCATGCATTTTGAAAAGCAAGCAGCAATATCAGTGAAACAAGATTGTCCACCAAGTAGCTATTATCATCCTTCTTATTTTCATCTTAATTTCTTATGTCTCAATTTTGATAATGACAAGTGCTGAATATTAGGATGCCTAGTAATTACCCATTGTACATTTTTTTTGTCCAGCCTGCTTCAACAAAGGGTAAGCCTTCAAAACTGCTCAAGAGAAAGCATCAAATCAGTTCCTTGTATTTTGATATGAGACAAAAGGAGTCGGAACTTGCAGAGCGGCGTTCTAGGGGGATGCTGACCAAAGCTCAAACCCAAGGGAAGTATGGATGGTGAAAAAGTTGCATTGTTATAATCTTGTACTAGACATCAGAAATGGTAGTAGTGAAATATCTACCATTTCTTTATATATTTCCGCCTCTATGACTAGATCCTTGTTTTGTTCATGCTTGTTTAACCCATACACATACTTGCAAGATGTGTGTATAATTAATTACATGGGTTCCATATTCCTGCGGTGCTCTGTTTTTTCCATTGCTGTGGGGAAATGCATATATACTGAATCGTTTTTGCCATTCCTGCAGTGCTTTGTTTTTTTGTTATACCATGTAATATCTTTTGATTTCTACTAAATCTGGTCTTGAATGTCGTTCAACTTTCAACCAAGTTATTCATATAAAGGCATCATTCTGATGTTTTTTATGCCCTGCTATTCCAATTGCTCCAATCCCATGGAATATTGAATTTGTTGAATGTTCTGGAATAAAACATTTACTCCCCTCACATTTGACTGACAAACTAGTTTTGATTATGATTATGGTTGTTTTGATTTCTATTATGTCCTCATCTTCACTGGAACAGTAGAAAACATTCACTCTCCTCACATTTGACTGATAAACTAGTGTTGTTTTAGACTAGGTTTGTTTTTTATTTAAGAATTGGAGATATTGTCTGTTACTCTGCTTTCGTGCAATGCTGTACTTAATCACTATACTTCTTTACTACATCTCTGATCTGTCCCTAAGAGGTTTGTTGTTTTACTAATATATTTGATGAAAATCCATTCTCTTCTCTGATTTATATGTACCGAATTTCATTGTTTTCGAATTTGATTCTGGTTGTTTAATAAACATGAATCATACTCCATGTTTTGCTGAATCATAATCAATTCGTGCATAGTTGTATTCTTAACATACTCCATATTTTGTTTAATAGAGTATGGACATGTCTCATTCCCTCATAACTTCACAAGTCATAATCCTGAAGGAGTTGGAAACTTAGCACTTGATAGAATGATAGCATTTATTCCTCCTTGTATAGTTGTATTCTTGACATCTTGGTAGATCAAAATAGAGCAAAAGTGTAGAGATTAGAGTTAACTTGGGAGTATTGTCTATTTTCTTGATCAAAGTCTGAACCTAATACGGAGTACTAAAAGTTCAAGCTTGTTATTCACATCTATACCATTTTGTCCTTTAATTCATATATTATTATTGTTGCTAATAGACAAGTGTAGGTTATTACTATCATTTTCATTTTCATTTACCCCAGTACCGCAAAGGCTCCCACCTACGGTGGGGTAAGGGGGGGTCGGATGTACGCAGTCTTATTGTTGCAATCACTACACTTATTATTACTATTATTATTATTATTATTATTATTATTAACATTTTTAAATAACCTTTATTTTGACCTTAAATAATAAATATGTAGTTATTTCTTATTTTTAATATTATCATAAATAATGACAAATTTAATACCAAAATAAATATTGTTTTAAACAATGTGACCTCTCTAGTGTACGAGTAATGATTATAATAGTAACTTTAGTCATAATAATTTATGTTCATTTCTTACACTTAAGTGACCATGACAATATATTCATAGTAACTTTGATTAATCTATATTTTAATAAATATATTTCATTTCAGCAATTTTTATGAAAAAAACTCATTATGTTTTTAATCATATTATTATTATTATTATTATTATTATTATTATTATTATTATTATTATTATTATGGAAATGGCATTTTATTAGGATAAGGAAAATTGAAAATTACAAAGAACAAGTAGGGAGCCTAGCAACAAGTTGAGCTCTAACATCTTTTTGAATAGCTAACTCAATCCTAATAAAAAGAAAATTTCCAACTTTTAAGGTAGAGTCATGTCTACCAATGTGACTCTTAACACGCTTGAGAAACAAAACAGTTTCTGGTCCAAGATCCCCAAAGGTAGTGAAGCCCAAAGTGCCAAAGTTGAAACCATTAGCCCTGCATATATCAGCATACTTGTGTTTTTTCCTTTCAATAGCTCTAGTCAATGCCATCCCAGGTTTGAAATGTACAAGATCAACATCACCTGCAAATGGAGAAACAATGGTAACATCCAAGCAAGTATCACCACCACTATCCCATCCATAAAGAAGAATGTCTGCGGGCTTAGCACTACCACCATACTGTGTAAGAAAACCAAGAGGTGCCTCAATTTTATGAGCAATACCAGCCCGGAAGCAAATGTCAGCCACTGTATCCCGAACCAAATTGTGTCTAAATTTAGGACCAATAAGGCTGGAACAATGAAGAGCATCATCACCCCAGATATCCATACTACCTAAACAACATGAACAAATAGCACCTTCTTGGAAAAGGGGAATGCCAAGCCTGTAAACAATAATAGCAGTAAACTGCCTAGGATTGAGAGTTTGTCCAAGCCCTTCAGCAGGAATTGCAAGGAGAAAATCCATAGTATATTTCATTTTGTTACTTCTCCAAAGAGCTAAGTCTCTATAACTCATATTAAAACTGGAAGACATGCTCTTAACTACACAAGTGAAATACTGAGATGCCAAATCTTTCATAGGGTGGGGGGCAAAAATAGTATTACCTTGAGTAGCAGGCATACCACATGCTTGGTTAAAAATACATTGAGCCTGCTGCAGGGGAAGAAAGCAATCAGAAATTGAAGTATGGCTAAGGATTTGAGCTTGTAACCCTTTAGTTTGGATATGAGAAGCTAGGTAACAATACAAAAGGGTATCTTTCAAACAATAAATACCCAATCCTCCTTCATGTATAGGCAAGGTAGTTAACCTATACTGCAATGGACCAAAACCTGCACCTTCACCAAGGATAAGATTGTGCAGAAAATTGTAAAGGTGCTCATCAAACAAGGATTGAGCAGGTAGGATATAATCAGGACAAGTAGTCCTCATGGTGAAGTACAGTTTTGAGACTCCTACACAATTCCTCAAAAGAAGCAGTTCACACTGGGGTCTTTGATAGCACCAACTGCAGTCATAAGGTTCATAGCTTTTTGGGTTCTAGCAATGACCATTTTCTCACAAAAGTTAGAATTCCTGCTAATAGTTGCACCTAGTACCCTCACACCTTCAACAGGATTACTAATATTAGCAGGGAAAGCACCACATTGAAGCCTGCGAGGATCAGGAGATATTATTATTATTATTGTTATTATTATTATTATTATTATTATCATCATCATCATCATTATTATTGGTATACACGTGGTCCATGATACTAATAATTATTACGGGGTATTAGTTACTTTCTCCGTCTCACTATAATTGTCCAATTTTTCCTTTTTCGTCAGTCTCACTAAATTTGTCTCATACCATATTTAGTACTATTTGTGTGATTCTAATTCATTGTCACTTTATCAATTCATTATCAACCACATAACTCTACTTTTCTTAAAAACTGCATCACTCTCCTTTGTCTCAATAATACGGGGACAGAGGTAATATTATTTATTTGTATACAAGCAATGGTTGGTCCATTATGCTAATAATAGCAATAATAATCCTCTATATAAACTTAAATCATATCAGCCTTTAAAAAAGCATATCAGAATAGAAAGATTCAAGTCACATATTCAAACCATATTAGAAATATTAGGATCAGATAAAAAAACAAGTTCAGAAATTTTGAAATCAAATCTTAAAAATTTCAAATCCGAAAAAATCAATGAGATGAATGGAACAAGTTGCCATTATGGAACCTGGTAGGAGTTCATAACCAGCATGGTTACGGTCAGGGTCTGTTCATTCTCAAGGCAAAGAACCTACGGGTCACTGTCCGTCCGTCTGTCCGATTGATTATGAAACGAGGTCCGACCCGATGGATAAGCAGGACATAATACAGGTGGAACAGTTAAAACAACTATGGGTCTATGGTGGTGGCAAAGTGTCCAAAATGCGAAAATTTGGGTGCCCTAAGAATTAGATGAGGTGCAACAAGGGAATCCCTGTAAATATCTCGAGCAGACACTTGTTCAGATAAAATTTGGATAAATCTATAAAGAAATGTGTTACAGCAGGCAGTATAAATTAAATTGAATTGTTCATTTTGTTCCCACAAAACCCAAATGAACGTTAATCCAAGAGCGGGTAAAAAGCGGTAGGCAGGTGCATATTGATATACTCAGCGAGTCTTGGTCTTTATCTGGTCTTGTGAATGAACTGCAGAAGTAATTTTCTTCCAACAACGGACGATAATGATTGTGGGTATCCAGACCCAGAAGGAATTTGCAAACACATAGTACCAGAAGTAATGATACGGGCTTGCAGCAAAATTGTCACCCTCCAAGATTGCTGTAATGAAATACACAGCTGTACCATAGAGCTGACCCAAAGAAATGGCCACCTGGAGTATATACCTGTATGCCTTCCTTGTAGCTATTGCATACCTGCCCAATATCAGAAAAGAGTCACAAAGACTAAGGACATGTAACCACAACTAGCTGCAACTGAATGCTAATGTTTGGATGGGGGATATCATGTTCAGAGAAAGCAATAAATGACCCAAAAATATAAGATTACATCAGAGGGCATAGTTTCAGATTACATATGTTATTCAATTCAGCTAATGTTTCAACTTCAATAGACATTGATCCTACATCAAAGAGAGTGGGGCTCTAGAGTTAGAATTGGAGATCCAACCCATGATGTGGATGCTAAACAAAAAATTAGAGCTAATCAATTTGGCTTAAAGTTCCCAATTGGCTGATATTATGGCTGAAAGTGAAATAGGCAGAATTGTCTAGAAACATATCAAAAATGTATTTTTTTGGGTGATAAAAGAAAAGAAAGGAAATATTATGGGAGTAAAAGTGTGTTCAAAAAATTAGTATTTGGTACTGCCTTTAATGATTGCAAGTCAATGTGCTCAAAAAATTAGTACTCCGTATTTGGTAGAAAATATTATTGTAAGTCAATGTGCTCAAAAAATTAGTATTTGGTAGAATATAAACAAAATACTAGAGAACCAGACATCGGTATGATTCAGATTGTTCTAGTCTTCTAATGCAGCATACTCGGTAGTAAAACCACTCTTCTAGGTACACTTACACAGCAAGAAGACATGCTGGTCCCTCTAACACTGCTGTGATTCCTTCAACAGAAACAACCGTAGAATCGCGTGCAGCATACCTAGAGTCACCCTTGCTGTACTCTTTCCCTGGCAAACTATAATCATTAGCAAAATTGATAATGATTATATGAAAGTTCCACAATCAGTGAGGTGTTGGCAGGTTAGACTTACAAACTTCTGCCAAGTAGATGGGAGTTTTTTTCTTGTAGAAGTCCGGAGAAAAGACAAAGTAACCCTCAAGGAACATGTGTGTAAGGCCTGTGAAACTCCACCAGCACATGAGCAACCTGTCTCCCTTTGATAGTTTAGGGAACCGCCCTAATAAGGGATCACAAGGAAAATAAATGACCAGGTATATTTCACTCTGATAATCCATGAATTTATTCATTAGTAAATTTTCAAAAGTTTTTGCAAAAATTTTATTGAGCCCCATATGACTCTATAATGACTCCCTTTGGAGTCATATGGGGTACTGCGGCACCATCTCTACCATTCAATTTTTTTTTGGAAGTACCATTCAATTTTTTAGTAGAGCCCTCCACTTAAAAACTGAATGGTAAAGATGGTGTCACAGTACCCCGTATGACTCCCTTATGGAGTCATATGGGGGTCCAATGGTCCATTATCTACTCTTTTGTGTAAATAAATGGAACATCGGTGAAAAACATACTACCTCTATCTCGGCTTTATCTCGGCTTCAGGTTCCCATTGAAAAATGGCACGGTTCTTAAAAAAATAAGTGGGGTAATTCAAGTATATTATGAGAAATCATGGGGTCATTGACGATAACTGTAATATTATAAATGTATTATTTTTAATATTTGACAATTAAATTATCATTTAAGAATACTAATTATTTTCTAAAATAGAAATGAAAACCCTTAACTGGAAGGTCTAAAAGAAGAAAGTGAGAACCATAAACTGAGACGGAGGGAGTAGTACTTGGTGAATTAGTGAACTAAAATGTTTCATAACTAGAGAAAATGAAAATATTCAATCACTTTCTTCCGTTGGATCTAACAAAATAAGGTCAAGGCCAAACACCATGGTCATTCATAGCTCTCGTTTTTCCCGATTAAATGATGCAATTCAGTACAAAATGTAAAAAGGAACTTATTGAAGATGGTTGTTCATGCTATTGGTAAATACAAAAAAATAGGCAGTCAGTAAAATACATAACAATGATCAATGCAAAAAGTGGTTGGAGGATTACCAGATAAGATCCACATGAATGTGAAAACCACTAGAGAAGCAACTCCATACACACCAACAATGTCTAATTGTGAGAGGAAACAAGGCACAAAACCGGGCAACTTTAGATCTTTGGGAATGTATGGGTGATCTAGCTGTGCTTCCATCATCTATACGTGTCTTTGTACCTGCAATTACAAGAGTGATACAGTATAAGCAACACCAAGAAAATTTAACAGTAGTACTATCTACAGACATACTCCTGTATGTTTTTATTTTGTCATGAAAATTAAGGAACAGTGATTGATCACTGGCATAAACAGAACTATCTGATAACTGTAGAGGTAGGCCAGGAAATTTCTATGGGAAAACATCATGATGACTATTGCCACTACAGTTGAAACAGATATCATCGGATTCATTCAGCATGCCATCCCACAGTACGTGAAAATGACAAATCTCATCCGATTTAACCAAGCTATTATAAAATCTACTCCTTTTAGTAATGGAAATCTGAACTTTTACAAGGACTATATTAAAGTAAAACCTGGAGATCGGACACTTCAAGGCTTCGTTCGAAATGATTTTTTCCCGGTGGCGGAGAGATGTTGGAATGTAGCTTAGGTGGGCGACAGATGAGAAACCAGAATTTATTGCCTTATGGGGGCGACGCCCATAGGGAAGCGTTACAGCAGAGATGTGCAGAAGGAGAAAGTGGGTTGACTGATAAGCTTATCTTCTTTATGGGTCGAGAGTTGAATCTGAATCGAGAGCTGGAATAGAATAGTTTGACAAAAAGAGTTGAAAAAGGGTCGGATAATATGAAATCACATACGCAGTATAATAATTTATTACACTAATGATTTTTATACCATAATAATCAATATTGCGAATAAACAATAGTGTAATAAAATTGATTACTTGCATACCCAGCTCCTAATCTGTACACCTAATTCGTTCTACAACTTCATCACCACCGTTGAATCATTACCTAACTAACTCTGCATGTTGCATTACTTGCATACCCAGCTTAGAAGCTTCCCCAACCAATTAACCAAAAACAAAACAAAATCACATCTTTTATTTATCGGTGAGAAATTTCCATTTGTGCTATTCTAATATACGGAGTATTTACAGGCACCACCGCACACAGCAAATGGAGCATAAGCATGGAAGTAAGTTGACAACTTGGCGATGGGGAATGGTAGAGGTGTTGGATCAGCAGGGAATGGGGCGGAAGTATAAAAAGTACGTACTTGAACCGGGAGAGCTCTCTCGGGCTATCGACAGGGAAGAAATAGGAACAGGGGTTATCGCGTAAGATAGAATTAGGTAGGGGTGTTGGTAGGTTCACTTTGGTCGGTTTCGGTTTTGAAAAAGGTGAAACCGCACTACTTGAGTCGGTTTCGGTTCGGTTAAGATCGGTCGGTTCATGTCGGTTTCGGTCGATTTTAGCATGTTTTTTTCGGTTTCTGTCAGTCGGTTTCGGCTTGGTCGGTTTTTTAACCCGAAAGGTGAAACTGCAAACCGAACCGCCAGTGATTAATCGGTTTGAGTCAGTTTCGTTCTTGGTCGGTTCGGTTTCGATCGGTTTGTCGGTCGGTTTCGGTTTTCCGGTTTTTTTGTTCACCCCTAGAATTAGGGATACAACGGAGATGTAAACTCTGAATTAGGCGGCTCCGAGGTTGAATATAAACGTTAGATGCATTCACTTCAGCGGTTCAACCTAGCCTAGCCGCTTACGGATGAACAGGGATGGGTTGGCCTGACCCGGGACCCGGCCCGCGACCGGGGCCCGAACCAGCGGTTTCAACAAGCAGGCTACGGGATCCAAGAAAGGTGGATTGGCCCGGGCCGGACGGGCCAAGTTCGAGCCCAATTACTTTTTGGGAAAACTATCAATTTGGTTCTCATATTTTCATGAAAAGGTTAATTAGGTCCCCGTACTTTTAAAAAGATCAATTAAGTCCTCGAACTTAGTAAAAATGTTCAATTGAGTACATTTGCAAGTTACTTGCGATGTCAGCAGGTCACCCGCTAATGTGGCGCACACATGTCGGACCACGTGCCGCAACGTCATCAACAAATGACTCATTAGGCTTCCACACGTGTGTCACGCCAGCAAAACTATTGCTGATTGGGCTGCTACATGTGTGCCACGTCAGCGAATGACCCGCTGACATGGCAAGTAACTTACAATTGGACTCAATTAAACGTTTTTGCAAAGTTCGGGAACTTGATTGATCTTTTTAAAAATACGAGGACCTAATTGAGTTTTTCATGAAAGTATGAGGACTATATCGACAATTTTCCCTTGCCTTTTTTTTTAGAATTTTGTATATTGGGTTGGCATCTAAGTGGGTGAGGCTGGGCAATTTGGGGGTGGGGGTTGGAATTAATTCGAAAAAACAAAGAAAAAATTAAGCCCCGACCCGTTCCGGTCCCCATACAAACCCGGGTCGATGTCAAGCCTGACATTTTGGACTCAAAGCCCGCCCCGGCCCGGCCAGATCCCAGTCCACCACTCCACCCCTAGTTCAGCCCTCAAACAAACAAGATTACCTTATTTAACAACTCGTTTCAACATTTTCATCAAATATGAAACTTTTGATTTTGAGTTACTTTTCGAAGTTTATTCTCTGAAGTTACTATAGTGGAAGAGTGGATCATCTTAGCAATAAAATGCAATTTACTCACTCGAAAATCAAATAGCGATAATATAGATTACAATAGCAAGCTTTAAAGTTTTAAAATTAGAAGAGCAATTCAGTTTGTTATAAAGCTAATAAAAAATTCAGTTCCCAAAACCCAGGTTTAAGACCATACATGGTTCAGTTTAGGCTTTGAATATCCAGAAAACTAAAAATGCTTGATAAGTTTTTTGGATATCCAATTTTGACTAGGAACCCAAACTGGACTAAGCCCTACTCTTAGTAGTTAATCGCATACATTTATTTGCACTGCCCTGCATTTTACTTGGTTTTTTTAACTTCACCCGTTGCTTCGTTGTTCTTTCCCTTGGTGCCTAGTTTCCTCTTCAGAGAGGGTTTGTCTTCAGAAGTTAGATTCTCAACTTTGTCAACCGTTGTGTTCTTCATATTATCCTCATCCATATCACAAATCTCTTTATTTTCTTCATCACATCCTTCTTCAATTTCTTCACTTCCTTCTTCATCTACACCATCAGAATTGACATTAACTTCGCTTGTCTCCATGTTCTCTTCCTCAACTTTTGACTGGAGGGATTCAATTATAGCCATCAACTCCCTATTAACCTGCATCAACAGACAACACCCAAAGGAGTTGATTTAACTTGAATTTTTCTTAGCTAACAGTATCTAACACTGTTGCGTTAACTGTTAAGTGTGTTTCATTGCATAACATATATCATGTAACTTTGATAACCATAAATCTAAATCTAAAACTAGCAACCATCCGGAACCGGGCTTTAGATATTATCACCCAACGTTGTAACAAATCATGAAGCAAGTGGTAAATTGAACGGTAAAAATTCATTTTTGCAGATATGTCCATCAAATTCAATACTTTGAGGTATGTGATATCAAAACAGGGAGTAACAAAATAGATTTTAGATTAAAATTTAAGAGTTGCAAGAATTATAAAAAATAAATATTAAGACAAACATTGGGATATACAAAAAAAAGTAATATCTGAAGCACTGTTTTTCTCATTATATTTTCTCAAATAACGTAAAGTTGTAGCTTTTTCAGAAAAACTCCATTGTGGACATCAATGTCAAAATACCTACCAACTCATCCTTGAGTTCAGATTAGTAACAGTTTCAAAAATCCAGATATTTTTATGTTTGCGTAGACTATAGATAGTCTAGCACCTATCTTATTTCTGAGTCCCACAACAATCACATATTATGTGAAAACAAGCTAACCAAAACCAATACGGAGTATTTGTTATTTTGTTTGCGTAGACTATAGATAGTCAAGCACCTATCTTATTTCAGAGTCCCACAACAATCACATATAATGTGAAAACACGGTAATTAAAACCAATACTCCCTCCGTCCAAATTTGATGATCCCGTATTTCCTTTCTGGGCCGTCCCAAATTGATAGTCCCATTTCCCTTTTTGGAAAGAAATATGTGGTCCACATCATTTCACCTTTTTCTATTGAAATCTCAACCACAACTTTTACCTTTTCAACCACTTTCTTAATCTTTGAGCCCAAAAGAAATGGGATCATCAAATTGGGACGGAGGGAGTATTTGTTATTTTTGTTCAGCACATAATTACATGTGAATATGTGATTGAAGGGTGACACCAGAATGTAAAAAATCTGAATGAGACATTACCTGTGGATTCTGGAGAAAGTCAGATATATCATTCTTGCAAGACGGGCAACCCATTACATTCTTCTGTGTTCGCAATGTCCTTCTTCCACCACAAGTCCTCTGTTTCATGAAAGATTGGCCTGTAAAAGAGGCTTCTAAACACGCCTTGCAGAAGTTATGGGCACACGGTGTAGTGAGAGGATCAACCATCACTTTGCGGCAAATAAGACAGCTGAACTCTGCCTCAATTGATACATTCATGCCAATAAGAACCAAGTCAGCTAGAGAACTAAAAGCATGCAGTATAATATTGCAAATTAAGTTATGTACCCTTTAGGAGCCTTTCCTTCATGGATACTTTCTTTTTGGATGACTTAACTTTCTTCACAACATTTCCATCTTCATCCATTTCACAGTTGGGCATTCTACTAGCTGGAGGAGATCTTTTCCAAAGCCAACAACCTTTTTCCTCCTGTATAAAATCAGCATGACATGTTTAATTTAGAAATATGACATATACATATTCAGAACTAGATCTGCTCATACATAAAGTGGGAAAGTTATTAATCACTCAGTCTGTCACTCAAACTCCAAATGTTTGGATTCACATTATAATCCCATTTCAAATTTCAGTGTGCAAAAATATTAGTGCCATGTCTCACATTAGGACGTAACTAGTAGGAGCTAACCAAGACTGCATTACAATACAGCCCTGTCTCGCAAACATATGTGTTTGTCATTATTGTGTTGATTTAGTAATTGGCAAAAAGTACAAGCAAGAGTTATGTTGAGTATAGCCTCTCACATCAAAATCCCAAGCAGGGTCTCCCTTTCTTTCAGTTATATCAATAGCACCAGACTTTAACTCCTTAATAATAGGCAAGGGCCTAGGGCGGTCCCCAATGTGATCACTGAAATAACATAGAGAATATGAACATGGGTAAAAAGGTGGACTTTATAAAGAATATTATACATTCTTAAAAGAGATTTTTAAATTGAAATACCTTGTCCATGGAGCAGGTTCATTATCACACCGTACAAACAGATAACGACAAACTTTATATCCCTATAAAATAACAATATAGCATAAACATAATTGAATAAGGTATGTGAACTTCAAACTGAATCAGGAGTGCTATCAGGGAAATCATATACTTGAATTCCATCTTTGCGCCAACATTTCTCTATCCTGTAAATTCCATCATAACGTACTCCTTTCTCTGGAGCATATGAAGACCGCTTCTCCTTGAAAGATCTGGAAATCAAGAAAAAGGATTGATACATGAATGATTAGAGTTCTATTACATCCATAGTATATCTCTGGTTTCCGAAATATAGAAAATTTGCTATAGTATATACATCTTTAAACTTCTGTATAGAGCAAATGTATAAAAAATATATTTTGATAATTTGATATGACTTTAGTCAATACATATATAAGCATCCTTTGTCTATAAGAACCCAAAAGTATTTCAGGTGGAATAAATTAAGAAACATGTTTTCTAAGGTTGTTTGGTTTCAAATTTCAAACTCAGGAAATATTATGATTCATGATGGGAAAAATTCTACTGAGTATTTTTTTAACTTCAATCTATACCGGGACATTGTAAGCATAATGTCCCGGGCAAAAGTTTAACATAAATTCTGCATGACAGGAAGCTCACCTCACTACGCGGACAGGATATCCTTTGCGGCAACTGACGCGTAGGGCTTCATTACCCCTTTCAAATTTTTGATCAAACGCTTGATCCTTGTTTGTCCTTTTATTTCCGCTCAAGTCTCTTCCACCACTGCAAATACCAATCAAGACAGAAAGTTCAAAATGAAAAGTTCTCAAATAAAAAAAGCAGCTAACCTCAATTGATCAAAAACATGAAAACAACTAAAAAGGATGACAGTTCCAAACCAGAGAATACCTTCCTGTGTAGAGGAACCACTCCCCATGGTCCTCATCATCTACATATCCACCAGAAAGTGCCACTGATTGAGCCCCATAGTCTCCTTGACCAGCAATTCCAGCAACATGC